AGCTTAAACCAAAATATTACCAAAAAAAAAAGACCCGAAATAATGCCGTATTTGTGCAAGGCTCAGAGTAAAATATCGTCGTATTTCCGTTGACTGTAAAAACCGAATATATCTGAACAGCTTCTGGTCTATAAACCGAGGCAATAAACGTTTATAGTTGGAAAACAAATGTGTAATATATATATATATATATAACTCGATTCTCAAACCTTTTAAATATGTAGAACTTAAAAAACTTGCAAAAAACTACAACAAAAACACAAAAAAAGAGAAATTAGTAAATGAACTTTTTGATTTTCCAATTTATATACGAAATCTTTTGCTACATAAGAATGCATGTTTAAAGGCACTTCGAGGCGAAAACAAAATACGATATTTTTTCTATACTACAAAACAAATACTACAAAAAATATTAAATTACAAAACCAAACCAAAACATATTTGAGTACCAGTCGCTTTGGACTTTTAAATGTGTATGTATATTAATAAACGATAGTCAAATCTATTAGCAAATTTTTGCTCGCGCTTTGTTTACATAAACGAAACCAAAAACAAAACTAAACTAAACGAAACCTTAAACTCAAAAGTCACAAACTTGTAATTAAAGTCGATCGGTTGGCACTTTCAAGTCGGAGCATTACACAAATTAATAGCAATTTTCTAGAATTTTTATATTACAATTAACAAAACTGAAAGAAATAAAAGTACGGCATACATATGACGGCATATGTTATTCTATATACATTAAACATATGTCCTATATATATATATATATATATATATTTTTGAAACTGCATAATTAGAGGACTTGAAGCGTTTGTTTGTTTTAAAAAAAAAAATTGTTAGCTAATTGACATTAACTGTATTGAAACCAAAAACAAAAAAAAACAAAAAAACGAAAAAATATTATAACCCAAAAAAAAAAAACAATTTGCAGCCTGCTCTTTGTAGTGTAAATGTTTTATGCAAATATTTTAAACAAATTGTGTGCTAAAAACATGAATGTAATGAAATGCTAGTCCTTAAAAGAAGGCATCTGAAATATGTGTGTAAAAACCAAACAAAATGGCGGTTGGCGAAGGCCGTAGGCCGTGGCAAATAACGGTAACAATGTGTAATGAGGATGTTTTTTAAATGTAGTGAAATTCAATATTTTATAGATTTTTATACTTTTATAAACATATACTTTATACTTTAACTGTTAAACACTCTACAAAATGACGCAAAAATGAAAACTTATTTAAATATGCTAATAACAAAAAAAAAAACAAACAACTATTAAATGGAAATATTTTACATATGCTACTAAAAAGAGAGAAATAATTGTAAACAAAAATAAAACTCTTGTAACAATTGTAAGCAAACGCTCAACGTTTTGGCAAAAACTGGAATCTTTTGTAGCGTGCTATATATAATGAATATAATATAAATAGGTATGAATTGTTTGTTATTTAAGTATTCCAAATGTAAAGGCAAAATGAGCAGCACGATGAAGAAGAAGAAGCAAAAGCAGAAGTAGAAGCAGTAAAAGATTGAGTCAAAGACATTTGCGTTTATAGAGAATCTTTTTATAAGCCCTTTCGAAAGCAGCCATCAAGACTATATTATCAATATTGTTTTTAGTTTTATACAAATTGTAAGTTAATACTTTTACTTATAGATTGTCAATGGTTTTTTATTTGTTATTATTGATTTTTGGTAACATTTTATACGACAGAAGCTAGTGTTATATTTTGTATGCGTAGCTCTTAAAAATTATATACATATATATATATTTTTATATGTTTTGTAGTTTGTAGTTGCTTGTAGCTTTAGTCGATTGCGTTGATACACTTTTATACCTTGTTTTATTATTTTTCTATATATATATATAAAGGAGAATATGTATAAAAATATTTGATATATGCAATTTATACAAAACCTTTTGCTATAACATAATAAATGAACATCAAGTAAATTGTGTTTGTTTGTTTTTTATTTTGTTGTTTACTTTTTATCTATATAAAGTATTGTAAATACATTAAATATATGAATTATTAGTTACACATACATACAACTAATATACTTAAACGATACAAAAAAGACTCTACAAAAAAGTATTGGAACTTGAACTTATTATTAAATATTTAATATATGTTTATTCAAATTGGTCAATATGTGTTTTGATACCAAAATATGAACAACAACAAGAATTATATGAAATTTACACGTAGTACAATTGATGAAATTTATAAACGTAATATCTATGTATTTTTTGAAAACCACAACAAAAAAAAAAACATTACTTGAAAACTTGCTTCAAGTAATTGCTAAAAATAATAAAAAAAAATATATATATATAAATTAAATATAAACAAAAGTATAATAACTAAAATTCTGCTTAGTGCACTTTGCATTCCAGAGCCGCGTTTTGTTTACGAACTATTTCAATATGCAGAAAAAGGAGTAATAATAATAAATATACCAAAAAAAATTGGCTTAGAAATTACTATAAAAAGTTAAAAATTAGCAAAACGTTTAGCCCCTATGATTTGTTATTAAATAAATTGATATTATTTTTTGAGTATTTTCATAGCACAATTTATGTACAGTTTTTCGTTTGTAGCTAGTTAAAGAAAAGAAAAGGTCGACGACGGTTGAGAAGTGAAATTCTTTTAAATAGACAATTTTTTAACTGAAATCCTTGAACAAGAAAAAAAATTAAAAAAAACTAAACCCAATTAACTTTACATTTTGAATGCTAATTGGAGAAAGCTTTGATCGACAACAAGAATAAAAAAAAAACAAAAAAAAACACACATACAAGGTTATATAAACAACAATTTGGTACCTTTTTAAACTTATTAAAGAATTTTACAACAATTAAAAAAATCGGAATGATTGAGAAAAAGTAGCCTGTAAAGCGAGTGTCAAGCACACGCTCTTCCATTTTAATTTTGTGCGTATACGTAATGTGTGCGGCATATAAGATTTAGTCCTTCGATGTAACTAAAATTGAGCGCCCTTACTAATGAATTCCTTTTAGCTAAATATTCAGAAATACAAGCAAGAGCATATAATTTTTTAGCATTATACAATTCAAAACAAAAACAAAACCAGAACAAAAACCAAAAGTATAAATATGAATAGTAAAACCTAAAGCAAAGTTGGCAAATAGAAAAAACAAAAAAAAACTATAAAGTAAACCAAATAATTATATATACATATATATATATAATATATATATATATATATATGTATATTATTATATATATGTACATATATAACAATAACATTATATATGAAGCGTATGCAAATTTAGCGAAATATTCCATATTTTATAGTCATTTTCAATAAACGTAATTTTTTAATTTTTACAAAATTCAAGTTGGAAAAAATGCAAAAAAAAAAACTCAAAAAAAAGTATTTGTAGTTTTCTAAATCAAAAAAAAAAAAAAAACAAAATATAATGAAACTCTCGATTTCCAATCATGTTTTTCCTCCAGACGTTGCAAAACGTTCTCCAATTGACAGATAAACAGTTAAATGTTCAAACAAAAAAAAACGTAATACAATATATATATTTGAATAGGAGCTAATTAGAGACCCCATATGATATTTGTCATGTGCGAAAACCCAATTACCAAGTTAAACCAAAATACATACATACCAACTAGAGACATATGCAACAAAACTCCAGTTAAACAAACTCCCCAAAAACTAAATGGAAGTCGAAACTAAAATATCAGCAGTACTACAATGCAATATTAAGCAAAAACAAAAACAAAAGCGAAAAAACAAAAAAACCAAACAAATCAACATTGAATAATTAATGGAAATATGTAAAACCGTAACGAATGAAAATTATATGTACGATTATATACAAAAAATATATTCCAATACCTTTTCTAAGGCAATCCAAACCGGAGGGCGCCCCAAAATAATATAAAGTAACAAACAAAAAAATTTAATAAAAAACCAACAAAAAAAAAACAGACAGGTTATATAGAACAAATGAAAAATAAAACATATATCTTCATTCAAATAAATAAAAGTAACTTTTCTGGAATAATTAAAAACAATGCTTTTATATTTATTGATAGCTGAATTCTTGTAAAGTCTGGCATAGACCCGGGAAATTTGTTCTTGAATAACTTTATTGAATAACTTAATTGAATGCGGCATATGTTGAGAATATATATATATTCCGGAATCAACTGAAAGCTGTCAAACCCGAAATGGTTGCAGCCCGGAATTCCACATTATTGGTTCATTGAACTAAATCTTGAACCAGTTCCATAAATTTCTATGGAGTCAATTTTAGTGCTGCATCCTGCCTGGATATTAAATTGAACCAGGTTCATGAACCGAACCATGAACCGGAACAGCATCACCTTTGCTTGTGTTAGCAGCCCTGGGGTATAAGAAGATCTTCTACCACATTTGCTCAAAAGCCGCTGGTTCAATGTTCAAACCAACTCCCTGCCTTTTAAGTATGATACGTGAAACTGTTGGGTTTTTCATTATACAACTTTTAATGAAATTTATTTATTCATTTAATTATTAATGTTATTATTATTTCATTATTGCCCCTTCTACTGAGAATATTGCAAATTGTAGATATTTCCATATAGAATTTGCGGGCTACATTCAATTGCTCAGTTTGGGGTTTCTTATGACTGGGGCCCAAATTGAGCAACAATTATTTAATAACATTTTTATTTAAATAAAATTTTGTAAAGCGTGGCCCCTAAATTCACCCTACCCGTCATGTTATAGCCAAAATTGCTGGCCGAACTTTTCTAAAAAAATAAAACAAAAAACATATAAATATATATATCAAAAGTATTTGTAAAAGATCCGGTTCGGTTAGCTTTTCAGTTCGGCATTTTTTTTTGTTTGGCTCGGCTCACGTCAAAAAAAAACTGGAGTTGCGATTTTGTAATTATTTGCTAAGCAACCAAATGTGACAATCAAATAACTGACATGTTTATATCGAATATTGTTTTTTACACTTACAGGTCGGGCAGCATCGAAGGGGTTTCGCCGACCTCTAGTGGTCCCACTTTAATCTCAGCGCTGTCAAGCAGCGTGACAGCTGCTGGTGGCATTGACAGCAACAGTAGCGCTTCGGTGGGCACCTGGAAGCTGATCAAGGGCAAGGTGTCGCAGACCATTGAAGAGATCAAATCGTCCAAGCATCACGCTTCAGTTATACCCGTCATTGTCGCCGAGTCAACGACTGGCACCACAGTGGGCTGGACCAACGACGGCGACTCGGACACGGAGTGCGTCACGATCAATACGACTGTAAGCGAGGAGCAGCATTTGACCGTTGAGAAGCAGCACAACTCCGACTCGGATCCGGAGATTGAGTTGGTCGACAGCAGCAGCCTGGGCAGCGGCGACATTGGCGCCGCAGCTGCACTTTCCACAGAAGGCTCGCGCCTGCGCCGTGGAATTGCGCACATCAAGTCCAGAGTGAAGGCCAAGCAGCAGGCAGCCGCCATGAGCAAAAAGGATAGGGAGAGCAGCGCTCTGAATGCGCCGTCAAGCATACGTGGCGGCTTTTTGCGCCGACGCAACAACAACGCGGAGGCGAACAGCGAAGGAGCCACAGGCAGTGGCCAGCAGGCCGAGCAGCCCAAGCCGATACATCAAAGCGCATCCGCTCCAGAAATTCCCATAGTCAGTGGCAAGGCCAAGCGCGGCATAGTGCTGGCCCACAAGGATGTGGAAATTGAGTCTGGCGTGGAGATGCACGAGGACATGGCACCGTCGACCGGCAGTCAGGTGTTTGCGGATGCACAGACGAACAATGTCCAGTTCTCAGACGTTGACACCGTCAGGGAACGAAGTTTCGTTCTTGATCTGCCGCTGAACAACGCGAGCAACCTCCTGGAGGAGTCGTTGCAAAGGAGCTCCGTGCCCCTTAGGAACAACCTTAACGCGTCGGGCTTCTCGCTCTGGAGCACACTGAGCGCCGCCAGCTCCATCAATTGGCGTGCCAGTGCCGTCAGTCAGCCGATGCTGGCTGTGGGCAGCATAGTTGCGCTGACGGTACTGCCGCTGCCCGAATTCTGGCGCGGTGTTCTGGCCACCGTCATGTTCATCGCGGGAGTGAACTATTGCAGCCACTACATAAGCTGGTTGTTCGAGAGCCTTGTGCTGGGCACACATCCGGAGCGTCGGCCCTTTCAGATACCCAACTACGATGGCATGCCCATCTGCGAGATACCCGCCGTGGAGGAGCACAAGACGATTAAGAGTTATGCGGGCTGGATGAACGAGCTGGACAGTTATGATCCCGCTACGTTCTCTTTTGCTATGACCCGGGCCATCTATATACGCCTCGACGGCACCAATCTAACGATATCCGGCACAAATGCACGCATACCCAAGCGGCGCATGTGGAACGAGAAGCCCATCGATCGGACCAAGATTCTGTTTCTCGATCATCGCTCCTACGATTTGCGAGACGCTCGCGTCGAGCTGCTGCCCATGGGCCTAGCCAGAAAGCGGTGAGTTCTTCATCAGATAACTTGGCTTGGGGCTTGCGTGCCTAAATCATTTCATTTGCAGCTTCTTCAACCGCAAATATCCCATCCAGCTGATTGTGAAGAACGCCTGCACTGGCTTTTTTACACCCATGGAGGATGCTGATCCAACGGAGGGCACGTCTCGTGCGACTAGCGTCACGCCCACCCAGGCCAATGAGACGCTGAAATCCGTTGAGTTTGCCACCACAGTTATGCTCGCCGATGTAGGTGCAGATCGGACAACTATATATGTGATCCTTAACCCCCCTTCTGCCCTCTCATTGCAGTTGCGCCAGCTGCATCAGTCCATAACGCCCGATAAGGAAGTGCGGGACATAACCATACCATGCGGCGACGAGGTGCGTCTGCTGATGTTTGCGCGCTGCGATCGCGAGAAGGAGGATTGGTATCGCCGCTTCATGGCGGCCAGCAGGGGCTGCGTCCACGAGTCGGATCTGCAGGTGCCCATGGCGCATTATGTGGAGGACACAGATCTGCAGGCGATTGCCGCCCAGCAGGCCATCAATCTAACAAGAGGTTTTCCCAAGGTGTGCATAGCCCAGCTTAGCTCTGTTTCAAGTCTTGACGCAACTTAATTGCAGGCGCGCTTCAAGGAAGGCGAGGATGGCTCCATGACTTCGCTGATTAATGATGACAATACCGGGGCCAATACGCCCGATACGCTGGACGAAGTGATCGACGAGGATCCGACGACCGATCCACAAAAAGATGGCTATGAGGGCCTTATCATGAACTCAGACGTCGCACGAAATCCGCCGGAATATGTCAAATTCATGACGGTCTACCAGGTAGCCATAATCACAATAGGTCCAGCCTTTTTTTGATTTTCGTTTTTGCCTGGCTTTTGATTTCTATGATTTTCCCCTTATGATATTCTTTTTGTACTCGTAGAACGCTTGCAATCAAAGCCAGATTCCCGTTTGCCGCAATCTCAATTATAATGCACAGAATTCTGGGGCAAATCGCCGAAGAGTAGGTTCTATTTTGTTTATTTCTTAACTTAATTGCAACATTAGCCAAATGTAGATAAATACACCCAAGTCTGGGCTCTCGTTTAAGTGCTTGGTTTATACTTCTGATGCTTTTATAGAGTCGCCGTGCCAGACGACAGGAAAACGAGCTGTGGAAGGGCATTAATCAGTCTCTATTTCTGGGCCCATCCGGCAGTGTCGTCTGGGCCAATGTGTTGTTTGGTCGCTGCCTGTTCAGCTGTCTGCATAATCCTGGACTGCAAATAAAGATTCAGGAATTCATGCAAAAGAAACTCAACTCCATAAAGGTCAGTGCCACCTGCAATCGCTGCTCTTAGTTCTTCCCACTTACTCGCTACTGTTACGCATTTTCTAGCTGCCCAGCTTTATGGAGGAGGTCATCATCACAAACATCTATTTGGGCAAATCGCCCATGCTGGTCCATCGCATATCGCAGCCCATGCTTGACGAGCGCGGCATTTGGCTGGACGCTGATGTCACCTACGAGGGCCTGGCCCACATTACGGTTACCACCAAGCTGAATCTGTTGCGCGTGCGCAGCAAACCAAAGACATCTCCCGCCAACGCGGATGCAGCTGGACCGTCACAAGATCCAAATGTGGAGGGGCGCAGTGCACCCGATGGGCTCCAGCCGGATGGCAGTAATTCCATCTTTGACAGCGATGCGGAGAGTACGGGTGGCTCCTCGTCGGATTCGGAAGCCTCGCAGCCAGGCGCACCTGTCGAGAACGCAAACAATGCCGAGTAGGTGCCTCAACTGTGTAAATCTAAAATCTAAATCTAAATCCCGCCCATTTGCAGGTTCTTCCAGAATTCGCCGGGCAATGCTCGGCGCATTTTCAAGATTGTGGATCGCATTGCCACCTCCAATTTGTTTCAGTATGCCACAGAGCTGCCGTACGTGCAGCGCGCCATGGAGAACATGAACGCGAACATAACGTTGCGTGTGGAACTGAAGGGCTTGGTGGCACGCGGCACACTGAATATACCGCCGCCGCCGTCGGATCGCGTCTGGCTATGCTTCCGGGGGCCGCCGCGTCTGTGGATATCGACAAAGCCGCAAGTTGGCGATAAGTCGGTGGATTGGTCCATTGTTACGAACGTGATTGAGAGCAAGTTGTGCGAGGCGGTCAATAAGTTTTTGGTCTATCCGAATATGGTCGATTTCTCGATACCATTCCTGGCCAAGCCCAACTACGGCGATGAGCCGCCTATGTCGTAACTTTTGGCTAATTATAATAATTTAAGTTGAAATTTTTGTAAACCTATTTACAACTGAGCTTTTCTAAAAAGTGATTTACCTTCGTTTTCCGATCTCGCTCCAAGTGTTATTTAGAAGTACTTAGCAATAACCGAACAAAAAATTCCACGTAACAGATTTGAAGCGCTTTTTTTTCCATACTCTCCGCAACAAGAAACTTCAAACTCACAGACAGCCCATAGGCTTTGTTTTTATCTATAAAAATGATTTTTCTATTTTGTATATTCACATACAGCTGAGGATCTGTTGTGATATATCATTCTGCAGGCGATGCAAGCTGTCGCTCCTTCAAGTCTTTACGCAAAGTATTCCAAAAACATAATGCAGGCACATAGCTCCTAATCTATGTATGTAAATACATACTCTAACTATATTCATATATATATCTCTCTTTTTACTGCAGCAACAATATATATTTATATATGCCTAGTTATTTAAGTCTATTCCAAGCTACTCTCTAAGCATGCGTGTGAATTTTAAATGCTTATCCAAAGCAAAAAAACATATGTATTTATATTTGGTATGGTGTTTAACTCAATTTTATATTCACTTAAGTAAACTACGTATGGAACATAAACATTCGCCAAAGGATAATTATTCCGAACATGAACAAACTCTTATATCATTTACAAGGCTGGCCGAAGAACACGAAGAGGGTCGTCAAATATGACCCATTCTTTCCAAATGAAAACAAATAATAGTTAAGCTAAACTACGAGTATATATTTTATGTAACAGAATAAACAAATAAATGAATGGCTATTTATCCATTAACTAAGTTAAGTTCGCTTTTTTATGCCTGCTCCAATTTCTTGGTCCAGTTAAAGTCAAATGATTTGAAGATTTATTAAACTTTTATTCGATGTTTATTTATTTTCATTTTTTAAATTCAAATTCGAAAATTGCAGAATTATACATTTGAAATTTGTTGTATTTTGGATTTTAATTTATTTTCACTTGATTTTATTATAATTCGGATTTTAGTTTTTCAGTTGGGGGCATTTTGCTTCAAAAGTACATTAAGTAAACTACAGACATACGTGTTTATAATATGCATTAATTATAGTTATATATATATTTATGTATATATGTGTATGTATAATGTGTATACATATATAATTCAAAAATGTACAACATTCATTTTTAACAAAAGGTATAAACACGATGCATTCGTCGCGCTCGCTCGATACGTGTAGTTAAAAACTTGAATATAGCCATAGCAAACAATTAAAATTAGAACTTAAACATAGAAGACTTACGTTCTAATACACATAGTACAACTTCAATATATATTGAAAATCGCATTTGCCGATTTCGTTTAGATGTGCTCAATTATTTCAAATGTATTATGTTTATATTGACTTCAAAATCTTTTCTCATTGTTCTTATTTTCTTTATTATACGTTCTTGTGATGTATTGAGTGGTTTTTTTTTGCTGCAAAGAGTCAGTTTTGCAAATTTTTAATGAAATAGGACTAAAAAACACTATAATTAATACAAATATGCATGTGGGTGTGTATGTATATAGTAGAATACTACTTACGAACTAAAACTGCTATCAAAACAGATTTTCTTCATTCACAAATAAATATGCGTAGCATTTTTTTTTTTTGTTAATATTTTCTTTCTCATAAAAACATCGTCCACTGTTCTCGTGTCTGGCGGCAATTTTTGAGCAACATTTGTTTTAAATATTTGTTAAACTTTCATTTCGGGTTTCCTTTTATTTATATTTGCGTAGAGTAGAAGTGTGTGTGTGTGTGAGTTTGGGGGAAAATGCATTTGAAATTTGAGCGTATCTCAATGTTCGTTGGGGTTATTTTTGTTGTTTTCTTTAATTTTTATTTCTTAGCTGTTTGCGTTTGCCATTCACTGTTTTGTTGTTTTACCCACAATAAGCTTTCTTTTTTTTTTTTTTTGGCTACTCTATATGAGAAGAAAACCTCTTTACAGACGCATATCGTCGTATTTGGCAAATGCTTTGCACAGCGCAAAGGCGAGTATGACCAGGATCAGGTGCACAATGCCGGCCACAATGACGCCAATGATGAGCTCGCGCTGCCGTATCAACCACTCGGTGAAGACCCCGTAGCAGCCCTGCAAGGTAAAGAGTAGCTTAGTTTTAGTTTTAGTTCACATTCAAGTGGAGCAGGTGACACGTACGTTTTTGTAGTAGCTGTTGGCATCGCTGGGATTGGTCGTGCAGTCCTCGTCGCGCGGCACCATTTGCGCTACATCCTTGAGGACGCAGCAGGCCTCTGGTATGGTGCGATTGCCCTTTGTGTTCTTCCACGCCTCCGACTCGTCAAAGTCATGATAGTCATTGATGCCGCAGCAGCCAAAGTTGCCCATCAGCTGGTTCCACATCAGCGACGTGGCATCCATGTTCTCGCCCAGCGTATAGCTGGTGATTGTCGTCTGGAGGAACTTTTTGCTCTCGCTGCGCACCTTTTCCTTATAAAAGACAGCCAGGCCGCCGGCCACGAGCTCCGCCACCAGCAGCAGTATGAGGAAGGTGCCGTACTGCGCAAAAATAAAATCATATAAGTAACAGTGTTGGTAAATGTAGAATGTGCACATTACGCATTCGCCCCATTCACCCGCTGACCCAATTCATAATTTATGTAGTCGAGTCGTGAGCATTACATAAAAATCTATGCGTTTGACCCTGAGCCAAATGTGCAGCATGCGTTAGATGTGTGTTGAGTTCGGGCAAACACACACACACACACACTTGCACACGCTCGCACACACACACGCTGCAGGCGCTGGCCAATCTTAAATGCTGAAGGTCAATTTGAAATGCTGCTTGAATGTTTTATAAGCTCTTTTGGTATTTGTTGTTGTTGCTGTTGTTGTTTTTGTTGTCGCGATGCTTTGGCCTGATAAAGTTCCATGTTGCTGCTGCGCTGGCTGTTACGCCTGGCAGCATTTCGTTAGCTGCTCTCCAAAGCTAACTGCCTGCCAGCTAATGTATCTGTCAGATACATGTAATTTGTGTGCCTGAATTTAGATGTCCGCTGATGAACCGGCTTTAAGCCCTATATTTATTCTATTAGCTGCAGCTCAGTGTGAAGCATTCATTATTTTTATACCCTTAAAGAGTTTATGATAACATTGTGTAATGCATTGAAGAAGACATCTGCGAACCCTTTGGGCAGTTTATATGTCAAAATCGGATTGAAGTAGTAACTTTAACATATGGCTACCAAAGGGTTGGCCCATCATATATCATGCTCTTGCATGAAAAATATTTTTGGTTTTCATATCTTCCTAAGCACACAAAAAATGTATACTCAACTTGACATTTACATATATATACCTATATTCTATTAAATTTATATATTCTAGGGAAGGAATCGATCTAATAATTAGTTTTTGTATGAAATACTTTTTTCTTTTATTCAGATATCTTGACCTATCAGACAACCTGTGACTATCTGACTACCAAATCATATATCTCTATACATACTATATTATAATTATAAGCTATTCCCTACGAGCTTCCCTTTACTCTAATATATCATCTCTCATCTAACATATATATAACTTCTATAAAAACCATCTTTCGGTAATCCAAAAGCATTTCTAGCCCACATTGCGACAAGGGTATTTGACATTCGGCTTGCTTTGGCATTGTTGTTCTTTCTTGCCGTTTTTTTTTTTTTTTCAATTTAAAAGCATTTACTCGTTAAACATCGTGTCGCAAATAACATTTTAAGAGCTCGAGACCCAATGAACTTGCCAATTGGTAAATAATTGGCGCACTCTCTAAAAATAAGCAATGCTAAGACACTTTGGCCATGCTAAGTGCCCGGCCTTGGGCCATAACTAAAAGCGCCCTCGCTTCATTTACTGCAAATTGTGCTCAATTTTGTGCATACACATTTTAGAGATATTTGTAGTCTAAGCAACGCCCCCGAAGGGCAATCGAGTCGTGTGTGTGTGTGACAACTATTAACTATTAACAACAAGAAGGCAAGTCCCCCCTCTGGCCCGTCCGAGGCATGCACCTGTTGCAATTAAATTGGCCAAGCCCTGGAAAGTCTTGAGACGCTTATGAATAGCTTAAATAGTCGAGTACTCGCAATGCCTGAGCCAAAGTGATAAACTGTTTATTAATTGCCGCCCAGCACGAGCTCAATCATAGAAATTTCTTTTAGGGTTGGGCCACAGACTGCCCGATAGATGTGTATATATGCATATGATTCAGGTGTAACTTGTGCGAGCGCCTTGAAATGTGCTCAGGTGAAATTACAATTCCAAGCACACAAGATCAAGTACAGAGCCAAAAGTGAAGGGCTTGTCACAAACACACACACACATGCAATCGCGAGCGCCTCACGACACTTGATGAAGTGCTGAAACACGTTCCAAAGCTCATGGAAATGTCAGATGTTAAGATCATAAAACGAGGCCTACAACATGTACCCACAACATATTGCAACTTTCTCTGGCCGCAACAAAGGTTCCAACAAATTTTCCAAGCCAGCACCAAAGTCAAATGAAAATCCCACAGAAAAAAAAAACAAACATAAAACGAAAAATAAATATCTTTAAAGACAAAATCTACAACCCGTTTCAATAAGCGTGCAATGAATATTTGTTGGCTGCGTCTCCCGCGGCGCCATTGAAAGTTGCAATTACAACAATTCGACAATTCGGCTGGCTAGATGATGCAACCGCTCGTTGGGCAACAGCCGCGATACTTACTTGTATCTTTGTATCTGTGACTCGATCGTAATTGTATCTGGACACTTACCGTCGACAGCAGACAGCGTGATTCACGCATGGCGCCCAAATAGCCCAAGAGGCTCATGAAGAACATGACGGCTCCGATGACGAGCAGAGCGTAGGCCATTTGCTCTATGACCTGAGGCTGTGTAAAATGCTAAAAAGAGTATACAAAATTAAAGAGATGCATGAGATTGTGAGAGTTGAGAATTGTCCGTGCTTAGCATAAGAATGCGTACTGCGCGGCGTATACGTAATTGTAATTAACCTTTCGACTGGCCCAAACAACTTTCGCAACATTCGTAATTAAATTATGTACGAGATCTCTTAATTGACATAGACAAATTTTTGACAACTATGAAAGACTTAAGTACTCTTAAAGCTGGCAGCTGCGAGTGGGTTGTTGGAAAAGCAAAAATAATGAAATTTCAGTCGGTTGAAAGTTTTGCGAAGTTCATTGACCAAACTGTGCAACTCCCACGTCAGGCGGCAGTTTACTCAATTAGCCTTTACCTGTGCATTTCGAGTTACCTGCAATTACTCATTACACGCAGCTCAACTAGGGCATGCACTTTGCCTGTTCCGCATTTGTTTTTCCAAACGATTTTCACTTAGTATGTCAAAAGCGGACGAAAAGTGCCTCGAACTTGGACAGACAGCGATCAATTGCTTGTTGCCACATGACATGCAACTGCGCAGCGGAATTTGCCATGGTCCGAAGCCAAACTCAATTAATGCATATGCACATATATATATATATATATATATATATATATTCACATTCAATCGAGCTAATATTCAGTTATGTCGCCTTAAGTAAATGAAAAGTTTTACGACTTTTGAGAATGCAATTTCTAAATGCAAACTCATTTGTGTATAAACAAATAGTCCATCCACAGGCATGTTTGGCATCCGGCATGCCACGGAAGTTGTGGATTTTTGCGGAATTTATATTATTCATGAGAGTTTAAATAAGGCACAGCTAACGATGTAATTGCAATTGAAGCTAGTTTT